CCATCTATCTATCCATCCATCTATCCATCCATCCATCCATCCATCTATATATCCAACCATCCATCTATCCATCTATCCATCTATCCAACCAACCATCCATCCAACCATCCATCTATCCATCTATCCATCCATCCAACCAACCATATATCCTTCCATCCATCCAACCATCCATCTATATATCCAACCATCCATCTATCCATCCATCTATATATCCATCCAACCATCCATCCATCCATCCATCTATCCATCTATCCAACCAACCATCCATCCAACCATACATCCATCCATCTATCCATCCAACATCCATCCAACCAACCATACTTCTATCCATCCATCCATCCAACCATCCATTCAACCATCCATCCATCTATATATCCAACCATCCATCTATCCATCCATCCATTCAACCTCCATCCATCCATCCAACCAACCAACCATCCATTCAACCATCTATCCATCCATCTATTCATCCATCCATCAACCATCCATCCATCCATCCAACCAACCATCCATTCAACCAACCATCCATTCAACCATCTATCCATCCATCCATCTATATATCCAACCATCCATCTATTCATCCATCCATCCAACCATCCATCCATCCATATTTTTTTATTTCAATTAGTTTAATTTATTTTCTTACATTCCTAAAATTGTAACTGCTGTTCTGCATCTGTTTGCAAAATCAATTCAAAATCAGGAACTGAACTGGAATTTAAGACATTCTCAATTCAATTCCAAAGGGCGATCAACCTCGTTTCTTGCATTCAAAAACAGCTAGATGATGGATTATAATGGCACAGAACACGTTTTAAAAAGTCAACTATACATCTTAAGACACGAAACAGAGAAACTTAATGCAACAGGCAAAGACGTCCATCTGACGCATGTGTACACATAAAATTAGCAGAGACTGAACTCACTCCATGGCCCTCGTCCCACCCAGAGTACGACAACATATGCATTACTAATTGTCATTACAACAAGCATGATTCTGAAGCAGACCTGACAGATCACTAGCAACAGAAACACACTGAGTCCAAGCATGGCATGATCTCCACACGGGTGTCAAGAGTTTTCAGACTCTCAGAGATGAAGAGGGCCAGTTGTAATGGGAACGCCCAATGCTCAGACACGCAAACAGCCAAATCCTTCTTTAACACAGCAGCTCTTGATGAATGACTGGGGACAGCGCCGTTGCCAGGATCCAATACTGGCCAAGTCCATGGAAAGGAAAAGAGCAGGTCTTTTGTTGCATTCGAGCACAAAAACAAAGCGGCTTTGCTTTTAAAGCACAGTGTATCTCCTCTTTGAAGCCCTCTGACATCCTCATTAACTCAGGGAAAAAACTTATGAAGCCAAATTAATTTTTGTTTTGCCTTGTTAATGTTGTTCTTCTTGGCTGAACTTCACTCGCCTTAATCTAAACACCAGCGTGACGCGTTTTCACTACAATGCCATAGAAAACTTGTGAGAAATTAGCAATTGACTATTAATAAAATAACTGTTAAAAATTCAGCAAAAAATGTCAAATGCATGAGAGACTCAAAATTAAATTAAATGGAGTTCACTGTTGCTAAACTATCAGTTGCAACACAAATATGATCAAACTCTGATTCGTATCGAGCAATTAAAGTAAATCAATTATCACTATTTGTTCTTGCATTGCAGTAATGAGATACTTTTTAAACTTGGAAACTTTAAAAATATTTACATAAATGATGCCTTTTTTTCTTGCATTGCAGTAATAAAATGTATAAATACTTCAGCCTTAAAAACGTGTATCTGAAACGACATATCTGAAAAAAGCCTGACTGAACTTAGTGCCAAGTTCGTCAGTATTAAAATTATACTGTTTACAGATTCTGATAACCTACACATACATCTGTACATGAGATTACGCAACACAGCAGTGCTCCCTCTTGGCACCTTAAGCAGCAATCGCATACCATCATTATAAGCTACATTAAGTCTCTGCATGCTGCTCTTTCTGTAATGCCGCCACAAATGGCCAGTATACATAGGGGTACATTATGCTTTAAAAAGTGTAGTCTTCACAGATCCTGAGCACATGCCAAATTTGCGAATCAACATATTGGCCTGGGCATACAGCGTACAACACTGTCTGTAAATATCCCTATCATCAGACAGGTCATCAGTTATATAATGCCCCAAGTATTTAACCTCATTACATACCTTAAGGACACTCCCAGACAGAGAGAAGTCAGGAAATGTCAGTTTTCTGTCCCCCCTACTCCTAACAATCATAATATTACTCTGTTTGGCATTATATTTAATATCAAAATCTGAACCATATCGAGAACCAATCCTCAGTAACTTGAAGACCAGCACTATATGGACAAAAAATCACCAAATCATCTGCATACATCAAATGGTTTATAATGGTATGACCAACCATACAACCTGTTCTACAACCATTTAACAGCTTTGATAAATCATCCATATAAACATTAAATATAAAGGGAGATATATAAATATAAATGCTTCCCTGTCTGACTCCATTACACACACTGAATGGAGCAGACACACAATTACCCCATACATTAATTGATGAGCATACCAAAAAAACAAAATTCTCACTAAAAATTTGGGAACTTCTCTATTGTATAACTTAAAAAATAATTGTTCATGATTTACACGATCAAAGGCTTTAGAAGCATCAATAAAACACATAAAAATTGTGGAATTATGGCTGTTATAAAAATCTAAAATCTCCTTTAGAGCAAAAATACACATATCAGTGCCATGTTTCGGTTTAAAACCAAACTGGTTATCAGAAGTCAGAACAAAATGTTCCATCTTATCCAATAAAATCCTTTCAATAACCTTGGATAGAGTACTGGCCAAGGCTATAGGCCGGTAATTATCCATATAAATACGTTACCTTACTTTTTAAAACTTGTAAACATTACACATTTTTAAATAAAATACCACTATTTTTCTTGCATTGAAGTAATGAGATGTATAAATATAAAAAAAAAATTTAACTTGTAAACTTTACAAATATTTAAATAAAAAAATACTATTTGTTCTTGCATTGCAGTAACGATATATATATATATATAAATACTTTACTTTTTAAAACTTGTAAACATTACACATATTTAAATAAAATACCACTATTTTTCTTGCATGGAAATAATGAGATGTCCAAGTACTTCACTTTTTAAAACTTGTAAACTTTACAAATATTAATATTAATAAAATACCTGTGTCATACCTTATTTAAAAATTCTGCAAACATGTAAATTGCACAAGAGACTCAAAATAAACTTCGATAGAGTTTGCTGTTGCTAAACTATCAATGCAACACACAGATATTATCAAACTCATACCAAGCAATCAAAGTATAAATGCGGCCTCAAAGTGAAAAACAGAGCCCTTTCTTTCTCTCCTCTAGACTCTTGCTCATCGTCTGCTCTGCCTTCATCATTTCATACCTTTCAAATGAATCTGTCTGTCGGTGTCTCAGTATAAGCAGTGTTGTGTGAAGGAGCGTCATGCCTCAGCTCATCCTGTGAGTGTGTAATGATTCAACACAGGACACGTCTGTACCGTCAGACCCCGACAGAGACTCAATATTACTGTTACCATAGTAAACTGGAGAGTATGCATCACATTTACACATGCTACTGCATACATCAAATATTAAAAACATGTTGAGGGAGGCACTGAATTGAACAAAACACGTCCAGGTCTTATTTCACATCAAAACCAAAACGCTTCTTGTTTCTTCAATCCAGTGTTTTTAGTGCATTACATTGAACATAACTTACACACAAATCAGCAGCAAAACAAATATACCATGATGCATACATACTTTTTAAATACCTTACTTTTTAAAATCTTAAAAAGAACAAGTTTTCAACTTTTTTCCTGCATTGCAGTAATGCGATGTATAAACCCTACTTTTTAAAACGTGTAAACTTCATGAATATTTAAATACAATATCACTATTTTTTCTTTCATTGCAGTTATAAAATATCTAAATACTTTAATCTATTTTTGCTTAAGTTGTAAACTTTACAAATATTCAAATATCTTATCGAATATTTAAATAAAGTCTCTACTGCAATGCAATAAATATTTAATATTTAATACATATTTGTAAAGTTTACAAGTTTAAAAAAGTATTTATACTTTATATTTACTTTACTAAGATCTAAATAAAATATCACATGTTTGCATTGCATGAAATGTATTAATACTTTAAAAAACATGTAAACTTTACAAATATTTTAATAAAATATCACAATTTTGTCTTGCATTGCAGTAATGAGGATGAGATTTTATTGCATTACAGTAATAATAATTTGGAGTAAAGGTCTTACAAAAAATCCTAAAATCTGAATCATTTCTTATTAGATTGATATAATTCAAAAGGTTTTGTGTCTCTTGTATCTCGTATCTCTCGTATTACTCCCATTCTGTTCTCTCTTTCTTTCATTATCCATTTCTTCTGGTGATTTAGACTGCAATATGAGCCGGGCGGGTAATTTTTTTGTGGTTTTAATGAGATTCAGAGTTTTACCTTTGAGCACTGCTTGTGATTCTGACACCAAACCAATGATCCGTTGCTCTGAAAGAGAGAACAGACATCATAAAACACTGGACATCACATCAGATACGAAACATTCACTCAAAACAGAAATAAATAAACAGAAGAAAAAATCAAAAAAAAAAATTATTTTAGTAAATCAGTTCACACTGTTCATTTCATTGAATCGATTCAAAACACTGATTCAAAGATTCATTTGCACAATCATTAAAAAAAATTGGTGCCAGATAAAATTTTTTCCATTAAACTGTTTGTTTCACTGAATCGATTCAAAACACAGATTCAAAGATTTGTGTGCACCTTCACTCAAAAAACGGACTAAAAGTGTTCCTTTAACTACAGTTTCAAATGAATCAATGCCTTGTTCCCTTTTCCACAAGCATCCGAAGGGGCAAACTTCTCGGGTCTGTAAACCAAAAGTCTGCTTAAGTTCAATGTCAAGTTCAAAGGAATCTGGTACAATGTAATCCAGTGGAAATTCCCCGTGAAACCTTGGAAAAGAACTCATCATTAAAGGACTTAACTTGCCCTCCAGTCCCGCCGGGTGTTGTGCACTCGATGTCAAGGATAACGGTCAACGGCTTCAAAGAGAGGACGAGACCACAGCAAACACTCACATGCGGAACATGTGCCTTCTCGAAGACGTGTGTGATGCTTTCATGTGTCTTCGATCAGCGCAGTCTGAACTGTTTCAGCAGCTCTGCGGGATCTGCTTCAGTTATGATAACGGCATCATCTTTACATGACTGTAAATCAAACATTATTAGCTGCAGCTCATGAGCTACAGGGGCTTTAAACCAAAACAAATCATTTTACGAAACATAATGAGCTGCCTACATGTTAGGACGATTAATGGAAATGAAACTTTTTTTTTACTCATCATTAAAGGACTTAACTTGCCCTCCAGTCCCGCCGGGTGTTGTGCACTCGATGTCAAGGATAACGGTCAACGGCTTCAAAGAGAGGACGAGACCACAGCAAACACTCACATGCGGAACATGTGCCTTCTCGAAGACGTGTGTGATGCTTTCATGTGTCTTCGATCAGCGCAGTCTGAACTGTTTCAGCAGCTCTGCGGGATCTGCTTCAGTTATGATAACGGCATCATCTTTACATGACTGTAAATCAAACATTATTAGCTGCCGCTCATGAGCTACAGGGGCTTTAAACCAAAACAAATCATTTTACGAAACATTATGAGCTGCCTACATGTTAGGACGATTAATGGAAATGAAACTTTTTTTTAATTATTATTGTTATTATTATTATTTTACAGCCATATTGCTATTAGGGTTGCAAAGGGGCAGACCATTTCCAGAAACTTTCCAGGATTCTTTGGAAACTTTCAAAAAATGTTGGAAATTTGTGGGAATTTTTGGAAAGTTTCCGGAAATTTACCAGAAATCTTCCGCCCCTTTGGAAACTTAATTGCTATATTAATCACAAGATGTTGGCCACCCTACAAACAAGCACTGCAATCATATTTCTTATTTTGTTTTAATTTCATAATTTTAATATTTTTATTTCGTAATAATAATAATGATAATAATTATTATTTTTATTTTTATTATAGCCATATTGATATATTAATCACAAAATGTTGGGCAAATTACGCAGCCCTACAAACAAGCACTGCAAACCTGGACTTTTTTTCTTCAGAAAAATCACAATTAAATTTTTTCCCCAATTCGTGCAGCGCTGCTACATATTTCTAAGACAGGATCATGAATGGAATGAGCACACAGACACACCGTTCTGCAGAAAGGATTTAGCTATGACGAAGTATTAAATGCAGGACTTACTGACTGATGAAGGCACAACCAAATATGATATAAAAACATTCAACGAGCATTTTGCAGAACTTTGTTCAATTTCTGCAGGAATCTATGGAGATGTATTTTTATAAAAGCAATAAGGTGTTTGAGATCAGCATGTACTGCAGTGTGTCACAGTGTCTTCTTGCTTGAATCTCTGTCAGGACGGCCGACACATTCTGCGGCGTGACAGCATCCCTCGGACACTCGGCGGGATGTTGACCCAGCTGTCTCTGACCCGGGACTGTCAGCATTGTAACCCGGCTTAGTGAAGAGTCAAGGGTATTCCTGGAGCGTTTTAACCTTTGGATCTAAAGCTGACAGAACAGTTTGCTTAAGCGTCGCATGTGTCAGATCAACTGTAACCCATCGAGGAACTAAACACAACATCGTCCTGAAAGATAAATGTATTTGTTTAGCAGATGCTCTTATCCGAAGCGACTAACAATAGAGGAATATTAAGAGTTCGTCACAGAGCCAACAACGTTCGTAGTGTACGCGCGGGTTTGAGGCGGCAGAGGAACATTTGAGGATGGATGAGATACACTGGGAGAAAAACACACTGAGATTCAGGAACGAATTTAAATTCATTAAATTAATCCAGATTTACATGCAAAGAAAAGAAAAGGTTTTGAAAGCCTAAAGGTTTATAGGCATTACAGATGGATGGATGGAACAATAGATGGATGACAAATGGATGGATGGACGGATGGATGGATAGAACAATAGATGGATGGATGGATGGATGGATGAAGATAAATAGAATGATAGATTAATAGATAGATGACAGATGGATGGATGGATGATAGAACGATAGATGAATGGATAGATGATGGATGGATAGATAGAATTATAGATTAATAGATAGATGATAAATGGATGTATGGATGGATGGATGATAGAATGATAGATGGATGGATAGATGATGGATGGATGGAATGATAGATGTATGCATAGACAGAACAATGGATGGATGATAGAATGATAGATGGATGGATGGATGGATAGAACAATAGATGGATGGATGGATGGATGGATGGATGAAGATAAATAGAATGATAGATTAATAGATAGATGACAAATGGATGTATGGATGGATGGATGATAGAATGATAGATGGATGGATGGATGGATAGAACAATAGATGGATGGATGGATGGATGGATGGATGAAGATAAATAGAATGATAGATTAATAGATAGATGACAAATGGATGTATGGATGGATGGATGATAGAATGATAGATGGATGGATGGATGATAGAATTATAGATGGATGGATGGAACGACAGATAGATGGATGGATAGAACGATAGATGTATGCATAGACAGAACAATGGATGGATGGATGATAGAATGATAGATGGATGGATGGATGATAGAATGATAGATGGATGGATGGACAGGTTTATAGGCCTTACAGATGGATGGATGGAATGACAGATTAATAGATAGATGACAGATGGATGGATGGATGGATGGATGATAGAATGATAGACAAAACAACAGATGGATAGACAGATGGTAAATGGATAAAGCGATAAATGGATGGATGGATGGACAGACAGAACAATGGATGAATGGATGAAACATTAGATGTATAATATGAAAGAACAACAGAACAATGATAGACAGATCACATCTGAGTAACGCAGTGTTTTATAGACGTCCGAAACTTCAGGTTATTATTCTCTCGTTTGATTTGGAGCTCTTGATCTCGGTGTCACATGTTAAGTGCTCTAGTTAGTGTGTGTTACAGTCAGCAGCAGGTGCTTTGAGCTCTTCTCTCATTGTTCTGAGTTTAGCTGTTCTTCTGGGCTTTATTTACATCGTTGAGACGCTTTAATCAGAGCTGCTTTAGGCGAGTGTTTAACACGACACACTCCACACACAGCCGTCTCTGCTTAAATCCATTCCATACGACTCTCCTTTCATTGGACATCCAGACGTAAAAGAACGTAAAAAAAGCCATAAAAGAAGCCAGCGTCATTCATCATTTTGTCATATCTTTCCAGTTTAATGCTGTTGTCCTAAAGCAGGGGTTTTCAATATTTTAGACCCAATTTATTCTGTGAAAAATTAGTATTATACATACAGGTACATCTATTTTTTAAAACAATATTTAGTAAATTATCAAATTTTTTTCTACTCATTATAGCACTGTACTGTTAGATGTATTATTTATTTAGTTTTATTTATGTATTTATTATTTTAATTTAAATTGTAACATTTTAGATTCAATCATTTAGACCCAGTTTATTCTGTAAAAAATAGTATTATAAATATATCTAAGTATACATATATATAAAAAAAACATTTTGTTTCTTTTAAATTAATTATATTTTTTCTACTCATTGTAGAACTGTACTGCATTATTTATTTTAATCATAAAGCAGGGGGGTTTAAACCTTTTAGACCCATTATAAATGGCATTATAAATATATCTAAATATTTTATATTTAGTTAATTTTTTTTTTTACTCATTATAGCACTCTACTTTTAGAAGTATTATTTATTTACAGATCTGTTTACGCATTTATTATTTTAATATTTATTTGTTTAAATATTATTTTTATTTCTTATTTATTTTAAAGTATTTGTATTTACTCTAATAATTTTTTTTTTTTTTTTTACACTTCATTTATGTATATTTTTTACTCTCTTTTTCTCTATTTTCAACAGGAATGTCTTAAAGCGCACAATGCTTTTGCTATATGAAGATCAGATTTGTGTTCATCAAGTTCCAAATCAAAAAGAAAATTATCCAAGTATTTAATTCACTGGATTATACAAAATTAGACATTACCACACAAGATTAATCAACATTTAAAAAATTTTACTGATTGAATTTCAGGAAAGATAACTATATTATAAAACATATTTCCAAACAAGAAGCTTTTTTCCACATTCAAAATCATTTAAAAAGTCTTATAGTCTTATAACATAATACTACATGCATCTGTATCCTTACAAGAAAAGCAAAACCACTTGTGATGAGACAAAACAGCAAGCTGACGTTCTTATCAGCGTTTCATAAGGTGCAAAACATCTACAGATGCCACATTCCGGAGATAAACGGGCTGTAAAGTAAAAATAATGCACTCTTGGGTTGTTTAAAGACCCATTATTACTTAGATAAGATCAACCGTAACACAGCCGACACTCACACCGGCCAAAGAGCAGAAGATTGCACCAACACCGATTATAAACTGTGCTAATCGAGCGCTGAATCTGAAGGTTAGAGGATGTTTCTGAGCGTGTGAATCGCCACAGGACTCCATTCATGTCTCTGCTAATGAAACCGCACACATACAAGCTGCTGTGGTTTGAGTCCCTTTCCAAGTTGTTTCATATCAAAGGCCCTTGACAAGCGACACGGCACGACTTCTTTCCAATGTTTGTCTTTCCTTTGGATCAGAACGCGCGTCCCTCGAGCCGAACGGAGGGAACGAAGGGCTTCATTTAAAACGCAATAATTTTAACGATGTCAGGCGTGCTCGCAGGACTCTCTGACACACCTTTGGCTTCATACGTCCACACATAAATAATTCCACTCGCAGCAGATGCTTTCCCGAACAGAGCCGGCCTTTCAGCTCGCAGACGCTGGATTTACAGCCGGGTGTTTCCCTCTGTCTTTTACCGAATCACCGATACATAAATACTCTCCAATAAGACAATAAAGACTCCAGAAAGCTTTAGATAGATATTTCACTGTTTTGATGACCTGTACACACTGTTATTTGGGTCATAAACTTTCTGAAGCGGCTTGAATGAACAAGTGAGACCAAGAGTTCTTGACTAATCAAATAGAAATCATCTGAATTACCCGAGCAAACCTGACAAAATGTTCTTAAGAGCGTCTTGTGCCTCTAAACGGCCAAATATCACTAATTAGTCGCCTAAAAATAATAAGTCAGAACGTTACTTTGTTTTACTTTTTTTTTTTTTTATTCTAGAACGCTGTTTATTCGCCAGTTTAAATAAAATAATCCTGTATTTTCAGTATAGATAGATGGATAGAGTGAGAAACGGATGGATGGATGGATAGATGGATATACGGATGGATGGATATACAGATGGATATACGGATGGATATACGGATGGATATACGGATGGATATACGGATGGATGGATATACGGATGGATATACGGATGGATGGATATACGGATGGATATACGGATGGATGGATATACGGATGGATATACGGATGGATGGATATACGGATGGATGGATATACGGAACAATAGATAGATAGATAGATAGATAGATAGATAGATAGATAGATAGATAGATAGATAGATAGATAGATAGATAGATAAAACAATGGATGGATGGATGGATGGATAGAACAATGGATGGATGGATAATGGAGAGATGGATAGATAGAACAATAGATGGATATACAGAACAATAGATAGATAGATAGATCGGAAGTTTTTCTGGAACATTCCTGTACTGTCAGACTCTTTGGTTCCAGCAGTAGGTTCCGATCGTTCTCTGGTCAGCTCTGAGTGATGGTTGATCCTCCAGCAGATGCGTGTGAGGCTGGCATTTGGTCAGCAGGAGAGTTCAGAGGGGGCTGCATGTTTTTGCAGCTGACCAGACCTCCCATTTTCACATGAAAGACCTGTGAACACACACACACACACACACACACACACGGCCTCCGGACACTCTTTATGGAGCACCAACAACAATCGCTTTCTATTCCTGGAGCTTCCATCCAGTTCAACCAGCACTTTATCAAGCTCAGCCTGTCACAGCACTTCCTGCGCAGACAAAAGACTTCGCCAGCTTTCTCCATACGTCCCTTTTGATGTTAAGAAAGATGTCCCCCTCCAATCATTAACGGCTGTAGCTCCGCTTCATCCCTGCCAAATGGCAACATCATAAACCGTCACGACTGCATTAGATGCATGCATTAACCTTGAACGCACTCGTGTGCCTTCAGATGCAAGCAGTGAGGAAACATTAGAAGAAGAGCCTTTCGCTGAGCTCTGAGGAAACGAATACGGTGTAGATGCACGACTTCTGACAAAACAAGAACGTAAGAGCAACACAAAGCCTTCACTTTACTAAAAACGGAATCATCTGTTGTACTGCATGTTCTCATACACTAGAGATTAAAGATCAGCCAAAATGCAACAAAGACTCAAAATAATACCTTTTAAACATACATTAAACTGGTTTCAGTATCTAACAACGTATGACCAACAAACGCAAAAATGCAGTGTGTTTGCTACTATTCAAGCTACTATTCACATATCATGAGAGAAGTTGAAGACACTAACAAACAAATGACTTTGTGCAATAATTTATAGACTTGATCAAGAGTATACGTCATGCACAGCCCATACTGCAACAAAAAACCACCAACAAAAAAAACATTTTTTTTTTATTTTTAAGTAATAAAAATGTAATATTTTCACATTACGTTCATAAGAATCTGGGAGGGAAATATTATATATATATATATATATTATATATATATATATATATAATGACTTTTTTTTCAAATTACATTAATAAGAATATGGGATGGAAATGTGCTTAAATGTCATAAAATAATTTTTTGACTATTAAGCCGTTATCCTGCCCAGTTCTCATTACTGCAATAAATAAATAAATAAAACATAAAAATTATTTAAAAAATACATATATATAATTTTGGAAGGGAAATGTGCTTAAATAACAAGTATTAAATATGTTACATTTTCTTCATGAAAATATAAGGTCACTGAAGGGATGCAATCGACTCTTTCTCCTCTGATTATGACCATCAGATGTTGTTTTACATCAATCACGTATGCATGCAGTCTGCTTGATGCCAATATGAGTTGCTTCTTTAAACCAGATTAAGCAGAACAGAAGAGAGTTCAGAGCTGAAAACTGATTTCAACACCCTCATCAATAAAGCGCAGTCTCAGCAACCAACCGGATATGACCACGAGAAACATGATTTCTAACCTAACCTAAATAATTCTATACGACGGACCGATAAAGCTGATTAAATAGCAGATATTCATCTCAAATATACTCTTTCTGTACATTTTGATCCAATATTAAGTGTTCATTTCATATTCTGTGACTGAATAGTTTTACTAGTAGCCTCTAGGTCACTACTGAGCAATAAGATCAATGCGTCAGGTTCAAAATCGGCTCACAGTTTAGCCAACCGATATATGGCCGTATGTTAAACGTTTTTAAATATTAAAATTAATTTAAATAGTGTAAAATAATAACATGGTTCATATAATATAAAATAAGCGATTCGTTTGATTTCATAAATTCTGTACACTCCATATATCGGTCATTCAAAAGCAGATATCGGACCGTTCTAGTAAACACAAAGTTGTAGAATTTTCCACTGAAACTCTACTCTGATAGAATGTCAGATTCGGACGCACCTGGAAATGCTTGAAAGCGGCAGAAATGCGCGTGATGTGCAGGCTGAGGCAACGCGACGCGCACCTCGCGCGGTAAACGCTCCCGCTGAAGAACTCGTCGGGTCCCCTCGCGTCGACGCGCGCGGCGCTCCACAGCAGCGCTAGAGTCCACAGCGTGAGCGCGAGCATCGCGAGGTCTGGTCGTCCGCTTGGATGTGCGCGGCTGAAGCGAGTTTGACGCTGCGGCGGGGCGGAGTCAACGCGCGTCACTTCAGATGGGACCACTGGGAAAGTTCGGCTTTTTTCATGCACTGCTCAATTTCTCTTCTTTCAAACCATCCAGAATACACAGTGTTTATTTTTTAACGCGTTATCTATTTGCATCTGATTTCAATTACAATAAACATCTTTAAAGGGGTTTTTCTCTCCACTTGCATACACCAAACTTAACAGTTGTATTCCTATCTATATTCTGAAACCTATGCACCACTATATGCAATGCATTTAACATTAAATCCTAAAAACATGATAAGTGATAAAAAGAGCAATCCAAAATCCCCTCTGGAAAAAC